CGCCCTCCAGTGTTCGTTGTCCACATTTGTTGCACTGTGCGTCGGTCTCGGAGGCTTCAGATACGAGTAGTTGATAGGCTATGATTGGCTATGCATTGTCCCCTTTGCTGTAGGGTAAAACTAATCTGACGGCGACTATCGATCGTTTTATACAGAGTACGACAGTTTCGGAGAGTACACAAGTAATGATGAGTACGCCTTACCACTGTATGAAAATTACACTGTAGTTGAACAGCCGTTGGACCTATGGAATCTTTCAGCTAGTTATGCTGAGAAAACAGTAAACTTTTTAAAACAAACGTGAGTATCCGAAATTTGTTTTAAAAAGTAAACATAAATAAAAAAAAATATACCAGATGACGTAAAACCACTAATTGTTCTGTTTTTTGTTCGTTCGCAGACAAAATAGTGATAAACCATTCCTCGTGTATGTTGCATTCACTGACATGCACGTGCCCCTGGGTCATGGGTCAAAGTTCACGAATATGTCGGTCAACGGATTTTTTGGTGACACCTTGCGTGAAATGGACAATATTGTCGGTGACATGTCTACACTGCGAGCTATTGGCAAAGAGGACAACACGATGGTCTGGTTTACATGTGAGTCGAAATAAACCATACCTTGACATGAATGAACATGGTTACAGTTTAAATAATTACATGCAAAATATTTCACTGAATATTATAACTGTGTACTCGCAAGAGAATGTGTATAATTTCATATTGAAAAAAAAATTATAAGGGAAGTGTTTTTGGTATTACATTATATAACGGCACCGCAATTGTGTGAACAACATGTAATTTCTTTAGTTTGAAGAGAACAAAAAGTTGTAAATATAACTGCCTACATATGGCGATATACATTGTTCCTAGCAGGTAAACGGCCCGCTAGGAATGAGTAAAACTAAAAATATTAAAATTGGTTATTACTGTCAAATTTCACAATGAAAATCTAATATTATATTTGAATATCATGTGACGTTTTCTAAATTTGAATTTATGGCACTGACTTCTTTCATTGGCATGTAAAGTAGATGTAACAGCATCCCTACCAGATCATCTGTTATAATGAATGTTCAAGCCCGAAAACAAAACAAACAAATGACTGACTACGACAACTTGAATTCTTGATTAGTCAAATCACTACAACCCATGTATGTGCTTTTGTTGCAGCTGACAATGGCCCCTGGGTAATCAAGTGTCAGTATGCTGGCAGTCAGGGACCTTACATTGGTAAATGGCAATAAATATATGGTACGTACCATAAATAAATTTTTCACCAGCAATCGGTCTCTTAATTTTTATAGTGTGATTTGTATTTTCAAAAGTAGAAATCGTTATTTCCATAATAATATTCTTAAACATCATGATATAAATATGCTTAGATAATGACTACAATATGGTAATGAATATATACATAATTTATATACAAATAACACACTCATATTTCATCGTAAAAATAGCTTTTAACTCGCGTCATTGTATTACAATTATTATATCATACCCAATTACGTAATTCTCTTCATGCATCATGTACTAGGCGGTGGTGGAAGCACCGGGAAGCTGACCCCGTGGGAAGCAGGTCACCGTGAACCGGCGTTAGTTTACTGGCCTGGGCGTATAAAACCAGGGCAAGTATCGGATTCCTTACTCAGTGCAATGGACATATTCCCTACCATAGCAACCATAGCTGGTGTTGCCATGCCTGCTAATAGAAATTTTGATGGTATAGATATCACAGAAGTGTTATTCGGTAGTAAACGAATCTATGATGGGAGGGTAAGTAGAAGGCATATTTCATGATCAATGGTTATTTTTTGCGTATAATTACCATTCTTGTTCCAAGTACAGATGATTCAACGATACAGTGTCGCACAACTGTCAGGATACATGACTCGCGTGATCATGGTGTGATCTCGCGCGGTCATGACGTAACCCGACGCGCGTTCGTGGAGGTATTGTGGGTAATCTGGACAACTACGTGTACAAATATGTTTTGACCAAAAAGTCAATCAGACTATATAGGTTTCGTAACGGTTGCACTTTTTTGCATAATGAAATGCCGGAATTATTTTTTGATCTTATAATTATTACAAGAAATAAAATAAAATGTCATTTTCCCAATCAATTCGATATAATGTTCGGATTTTTAACAATTAATTTGACAACAATTTATAATTGTAATATTTGTTTATATTTCCGTATAAGGCGTTATTTCATCCAAACAGTGCCTCATCTGGTACCATGGGTGACTTGAATACTGTACGAGTAGGAAGGTACAAGGCGCTATATCTCACAGGTATGTACCAACTTGTATTTATAATATTTATTTAATTGGTATGAAAATTATTGAATATTTTACCTTCTGACGTTTTTTAAGATCCCTAGCATTATTTACAACACAACATTTTGTTGCCGATCTACGATCTCTAAGTCTGATTCCCTTCATGCTATAATACGTTACATGACGCCACGTTACATGACATCACATGGCGTCACGTCACGTCATATCATATCACTTCACGTTACAATACAATACATTACGTCACTGCAATGTGATTCTTTTCATAGACGTCTTGCTTTGCCCTATACATTCTCGTTTCATGGACCAAACATCTATACATGATTCTTGAATTATGTTTTGTGAACGTAATTCATGATATCTCTCCTGGGTTCTGCATTTCACCGTAACATTTTGATATTACAAATCCCAGATTCAATTTGGTTTTCACATTCCCAGACACTCACAGTACATATGTTGGCCACGAGTAATATAAAGCATTTTCGAATAGTGACCTGTGAGGGCGTTAATCCGGAATAGTTAGGCCCCTGTTAATGAATACACAATATAAAACACTCTCAGTAAGAGCAGCTCCCTGGTAAGAGTCAACAAAGGGTGAAATATTTGAGGTTCCATAAACCTGGGTCACAGTAAATAAACACTTTTAAACTGTATGATTGCACTTAGTACTTTCATTACTGTTACATGTTGCAGTTTCTCCATCACATAGCTAAGTTTAAACTTTAAAGTGAGAGGGTCGCCT